AGCCATTGGCCATTATCTTTGAAAACTCATGGCGATCGGGGGAGGTCCCGAATGACTGGAAAAAGGTTAATGTAGTGCCCATCTTTAAAAAAGGGAAGGAGGAGGATCCGGGGAACTACAGGCCAGTCAGCCTCACCTCAGTCCCTGGAAAAATCATGGAGCAGGTCCTCAAGGAATCAATTATGAAACACTTAGAGGAGAGGAAAATCTCTCTTAGAGGAGAGAAAAACACTTAAAGGAGAGAAAAAAAGTGATCAGGAACAGTCAGCATGGATTCACCAAGGGGAAGTCATTCTAATTGCCTTCTATGATGAGATAACTGGCTCTGTGGATGAGTTATTCCTTGACTTTAGCAAAGCTTTTGATGCGATCTCCCACAGTATTCTTGTCGCCAAGTTAAAGAAGTATGGGCTGGATGAATGGACTGTAAGGTGGATAGAAAGCTAGCTAGTTCGTTGGGCTCAACGGGTAGTGATCAATGGCTCCATGTCTAGTTGGCAGCCAGTTTCAACCGGAGTGCCCCAAGGGTCGGTCCTGGGGCCGGTTTTGTTTAATATCTTTATTAATGATCTGTAGGATGGTGTGGACTGCACTCTCAGCAAGTTTGCAGATGACACTAAACTCGGAGGCGTGGTAGATACACTGAAGGGTAGGGATCGGATACAGAGGGACCGAGACAAATTAGAGGATTGGGCCAAAAAAAACCTGATGAGGTTCAACAAGGACAAGTGCAGAGCCCTGCACTTAGGACGGAAGAATCCTGTGCACTGCTACAGAGTAGGGACCGAATGGCTAGGTAGCAGTTCTGCAGAAAAGGACCAAGGAGTCACAGTGGACGAGAAGCTGGATATGAGTCAACAGTGTGCTCTTGTTGCCAAGAAGGCTAATGGCATTTTGGGCTGTATAAGTAGGGGCATTGCCAGCAGATCGAGGGACGTGATCATTCCCCTTTATTCGACATTGGTGAGGCCTCATCTGGAGTACTGTGTCCAGTTTTGGGCCCCACACTACAAGAAGGATGTGGAAAAATTGGAAAGAGTCCAGCGGAGGGCAACAAAAATGATTAGGGGTCTGGAGCACATGACTTATGAGGAGAGGCTGAGGGAACTGGGATTGTTTAGTCTCCAGAAGAGAAGAATGAGGTGGGATTTGATAGCTGCTTTCAACTACCTGAAGGGGGGTTCCAAAGAGGATGGAGCTTGGCTGTTCTCAGTGCTGGCAGATGACAGAACAAGGAGCAATGTTCTCAAGTTGCAGTGCGGGAGGTCTAGGTTGGATACTAGGAAACACTATTTCACTAGGAGGGTGGTGAAGCACTGGAATGCGTTACCTAGGGAGGTGGTGGAATCTCCTTCCTTGGAGGTTTTTAAGGCCCGGCTTGACAAAACCCTGGCTGGGATGATTTAGTTGGGAATTGGTCCTGCTTTGAGCAGGGGGTTGGACTAGATGACCTCCTGAGGTCCCTTCCATCCTTGATATTCATTCTATGATTCTACAGCTGAAAGTGTGCTCTTCAGCTCATCTTCCACACTGGCAGAGAGGCTGTCCCAGATTAGAAGAAGGTGAAAGAGAATGTGTGATGACATGTTTAATGAGATTATAAACGCCTCTGGGACAGCTGACACTGAGCAGAGAGCGGGGAGGATTTTTTTCTCTGAAAAACTGAACATGGACATTGCGAGCAGGAGAGAGAAGCCCAGGAGCATGAGGATGGCCTGCAGTAGGAGATGCTAGAGATTCTGAAGGAACAAACAGACATGTTGAGGTGTCTGGTAGACCTTCAGGAGAAACACCTTGAGCCTAAACTCCCTCTGCAACCCCTGCAGAATGGAATTCCTGCATCGACATATTCCCCCTCCCCTTCTTCCAAACGTTCCAGGAGGCGAGGGGGGAAATGCTATATCCCTTCCACTCAACACCGGGGTAGGGTACTTGTAATAAAAGGCACACATACAGTGATCTTTGACAGGCAAGGCCACTCTATTTAAAAGACTAGATTAAGGTGTTTTTCCCCTCCATATTGCAGTCTGCTGACTGTCCAAGGTTGCATTTTTTCTGATCTTTCATTTCCAATATGTTTGTGCAAGAAAAGTCCATGGCCTGAGAATGAAATAATCTTTATTATTTCACACCATGGGGGAAAGTGGAGAATGGGAGGTATAGGAAAACTGAGGAAACAGAGGGGATTTGCTGGAGACAGAAACCTAGCAGGCACAGCAAGGTTCACAGTATGGGAAGGCACAACTCCAGAAGCAGCGCACATTCCTGAGGGTTATTACTGAATCAGGTTTTCAAAACCCCCCTCAGACACAGTGCTCCATGCTGCACTCTTCTTTTTACCCTGGTATCTGGCTGCTCAAAATTAGCAGACAGCCTATCCACCTCCTTGCCCCACCCCTGTGGAAACGTCTCACCCTTTGCTTCACAGATATTATGGAGCACACAGCAGGCAACTATAACCATGAGGATATTGCTTTCACTGATGTCTAACCAAGTAAGCAAACTGCACCAGTGGCCCTTTAAACTGCCAAAGGCACATCCAGCCTATGGTTGAACTGCTCCTTGCTACTGTCCAGGTGGCCGATGTGCAGCTTCATGAGCCATGGGAGCAAGGAGTAAGCTGGGTCTCCCAGGATGACTATTGGCCTTTCAATGTCAATGATTTTGCATTTCAGAAAAAGTCCCTGTTTGCACTTTCTGAATAGACCCGTGTCCTTAAAGATGTGGGCATCATGCACCTTCCCTGATCACCCCAAGCTGATGTCGTTAAAATGCCCCCAGTGATTCACCAGAGCTTGCAACCCCATTAAAAAGTATCCCTTTCCGTTTACATACTCTGTAGCAAGGTGGTCTAGTGCCAAGACAGGGATGTGTGTTCCATCTATCACCCCACCGCAGTTAGGGAAAGCCATTGCAGCAAAACCATCCAGTATCTCCTGCACATCGCCCAGAGTCACAACCCTTCTTAGCAGAAGGCAATTAATGGTCCTCCACACTTGGATCATAGCAAACCCAACGGAAATTTCCCAACTCCAAATTGATTCCCCACTGACCGGTAGCAGTCTGGCATCGCAAGCTTCCACACAGCAATTGCCACTCGTTTCTCCACAGTCAGAGCTTGTCTCATTTTAGTGTCGCTGCACCACAGGGCTGAGGAGAGCTCTGCACACAATTCCTGGTAAGTGGCCTTCACATACAAAAGCTCTGCAGCCACTGCTCGTCACCCCATACCTGCATAATGATGCGATCCCACCAGTCAGTGCTTGTTTCTTGGGACCAAAACCAGTGCTCCCCAGGTTCAGCTGCTGCGTGACTGCCAGCAGCAACTGGGAATTGTTTCGTTCTATGGCTTCCAGCAGGGCTGCTTGAAGGACATTGCCATGTTCCATGCAGCGGCTCTTTTCCCAACTTTGGAAATACTGCAGGATAAGGTGGGTGGTGTTTGTAGTGCTCACAATAACAGTGCACAGCTGAGCGGGATCCATGCGTCTCAGGAGATGGCGTACACATGGCTATGCCAGCCTTTTGAGAAAAGGCACAAAATATTATGGGTTGCAGTTCACATCAAGGGAGTGGGGGAGAAAACTGCATCATGTGATGTTCAAGCCATGTGCCCAGTCCCCCATGTGAAAATGTTTTCATCCTAAGAGGCATTGCAAGCCCTTCCCAAAACCCCCTGCAGTGAGTTACACTGTGGGATAGCTACCTATGATGCACTGCTCTCAGCATCGATGCAAGCGTTACTAGGGAGGATGCACTCCACCAACACAAGGAGTGTGGCGTGGACATGCGCTACTGATTTAATTACTGCAGCAGCTGGATGTTGACTTAACTTAAGTTGACTTAAGTTTGTAGTGTAGACATGCCCCCAAACTAAATTGAAGTAAACCTAGTTTAAACCAGTATAGGAGTGTTCACATAGCCTTTTGGTTAGATTTAACTAAATTGGTTTAAAAATCCCTATCTTGAGTTAAACCAATGCAACTTTTCCAGATAGACAAGCTCTGATTCGGGACTCCATAGCATTGAGTTCAGACTGTAGTTAAACATTAATTGCTATGGCTCTCTTTTTAAGACCCATAAATTCCACACAATTAAAATGGCAGGAAACGAACAGTAAGAAAAGAGAATTCACTAAAGGTGTCAGGAGCAGTGGAAGAACATTGCTGCTATGTGATTAAGCAGTTTTAAGTACAAAAAACCCAATCAAAACAAAAGCTCTTTCCCTTTGGAATTTTTTGGTCTTCTCTCTCTGCCAGATCCTCTGCTAGTGTAATTGGCATTGCTCTATTGATTTCAGTGCAGACACTCCAATTTATATCCACTGAGGAGCTGGCCTGCATTGCCTCCTCACTTTCATTGTTTCTTTCTACCATCTATTTTTCCTCCCTTTTCTCTTCCTCATCTTAAAAATTGTTACTTTTTTCTACAGAAAACAAACTCCTTTCCAAGCTCAGAAGCACTCTGGAGTACCTTGATTAATGCTACACAAAGTAACCTTTGAAAGTAGAGATGGAACAAAAAGAGTGCCACTTGCAGATCAATCCAGCAGGGAAAGAAAAACATAAAACTTATTAAACAATCTTTAGTTAAAAATGCCTCGGAGTAAAATCTATAACTCACTGTACATTACCTTAAAATTCCCTCTGTCACCTCTTTGTATTTTCTTAATTTCTTCCTCTCATCTCAGCAGTGAGTCCTGGCTTCTGTATGAAACTCCTCCTAACAGCAAAGCCTCTGCTTTTCATACCCATAAGCCTCTACAGCAAAAGGAAACTTTTCCTCACAATCCGTCTAATATTGCCCCTGCAGACTCGCCTTAAAACCGAACTATATTGAATGACAGCGGGAAAGAGTTTGAACAATTGTACAGATAAAAGACCCAGAAGCATCACATCCAGCATACAAAGTGTTAATACAGCCAAGTCTGCCTGTGAACACAATATTGACCCCATTGTGCTGAGTGTCCTTGGCTCCCATGGAAATCCAGGCGAGTTGAAGTTGCTCAATATTTTGCAGAGCTGGAGTGAATGCTGAAAGACAGTAATCAACATTCATGGAACTGTAAACATCTGCTCGGCTCAATCATGTAAGCAGGAGTTTTTCTGCAAACCTTTGTGTAAAAGGGTTTTTGTTTGGGGGCTTTGGGATAAGTGGTTCTGGGTTTGGCCCATTTTGATTTCTAATAGATACAAACAAAACTACGGGTGGTGTGAGTAAAACCTTAACAACATTTTGCTTTGCAAAGTCAAGATCAAGCAGTGGTTTGGATCAGGGTTCCATTTTATCCAAATCCTCAACATGCAGGGAGATTTGAATAAATGTATCTGGGTTTTGGCCCTTGTATAGTCATAAAGCTGATAGAAGCATTAAATGCATCTCTAAACAATAGTTTAAATATTATTGAATAATAGATTTTGCAGATAATTTTAAGTTCTGCATAAAGAGTATTCTGAGTGGCCCTAAGCAGGCACTCCTAGATTCAAGGACACCATTACTGGCATTTAGGAGTATTTGAATAAAGCACTTATAAATTCCTACATACTGATATTAGTGGAGTGACTTATTCCTGCTGCTACCAATCTTAAATTTCAGAATATTAATGAGAAAAATTGCTGTAAAGTAGAAACGTGTCCTGAATTTGAAAGAGTCCAGACTCCAGGGTAATAGCAACATACTGTATATGCTACTACCAATTTTATAAGACACAGCAAAGATATTTGTTTGAAAAAAGTTAGTGCAGACTTACAAATAATAAATATATGTGAAAAGTATTATCATAGTGCCCTTTTGCTGATTTAAACAGGTGGGTATTATCCCAGTTGTATAGATGAGAAACTGAGGCAAAAAGGTTATATGACTTGCTCTTGGTCACACAACTAGTCTGTGGCAGAGCCAGAACTGAACAGAGGTTTAATGACCCTTACAGCTATAACTAAAGTGATATATAGATAAATACAGACACACACACACACACACACACACCATTTCTTGATCCAGACATAGGCACACATGCATATGAGGTTGCTGCATCTCATGTCTCTTCACAATGTTAGTTATAGCAGATCAGCAGAGTGGTCTCTATACAGCTTTCAGTGGAAGTAGCATCATGACAGCCGTTTTCAGTAGCTGACTCCTACAAAACAGGTTTTTGGGTGTGCATGTATTACAGATGATCAGAAATTTTTCAGCAAAACTTTTTTTTGTTGAAAAATGCTAATAAATTCTCTGTGGTGCAAGGTAGAGAAAAAAAAATTAGGTATTGATACAGAGAGAGAGAGCCCCATCCCAGAATAGCCAATCATTTGGTGTTTAGGACACACATCTGAGTTGTGGAAGACATGGGTTTAAGTCCTGAATCAGACAGAGTAGGCTGTTCAATCTTGTTCTCCAAAATCCTAAGTAAATGCTCTAATGACAGGGCTACTGGCTATTCTGGGAGGTGTCTCTCTCTTCTTCTTCTTCTTTTTTTTTTTTGCAAAGGTTAGATGTGGAACAAAACTAATATCAGAACCTCAACATTTTTCATGAAATAGAATTATTGTTTTTCAGCCAACACTAGCGTATATGCTACCAAAACAGTTCTATCAGATTATCAGTTTCTCTATGTAATAAAAATCACACCAAAACATGCACATTATATATAGGCTTGGAACAATTCGATGTATTGGTTAATGTTGGTAAATGTGAATTATGCTGTACATACACAAACTGACCAAAAAGTATTTCCATCCATAATAATTGAAATTTCACTGATAGGCAAAGTAAGAACATGCTGCTTGAGAACTTATTAGAGTTTAATTTAAGGACATTTATTTGAGAATTTGTATTTTAATAGTTATAAGACTAACTTTTTGAATTTCAATATCTACGGTCATTAAATTATTATTTTCTGACCTCCCCCCATAATTCCCCTCGACTTTGAAAATTTAAATCGATAAAAGTAAAAAAAAAAAAAGGCTTAAAAATAAACTATCCACCAAAATTATAAAACAGTAAAAATATCAAATACTGCCAACCCTAATTATATAGATGCAGTGTGGTTGTAGCAGTGTCAGTCCCAGGATATTAGAGAGACAAGGGGGGTGAGGTAATATCTTTTATTGGACCAACTTCTGTTGGTGAGAGAGACAAGCTTTTGAGCCACACAGAGCTCTTCTTCAGGTTTGGGAAAGGTAGTCCTAGCTTGTCTCTCTACCAACAGAAGTTGGTTCAATATAAGCATAATTAATAATTATACCTCAGATGGCATATTATTTTGAGGCATGAATTTTCCTGACATACCACAGACTGCTCTTGGCACAGGACCTTTCAACACGCAGAGACAATGAACAAACCAGCCAAAACTGGAATTTGTTACCAGAACCCCCAAACTTGGAGGGTTGAGTAACATAGGATCCAGATTGAAAAAACTCATTCCTTTGCAAAACAAGCTGACTGGTGAGGCTTTGCTAAATCAAGACCAAGGCCTTGGCTACACTTGCAGATGTACAGCGCTGTGAGTTAAACCTGACTTCGTGCAGCTGAGTAGGAAGAGCTCTGCAGTCTGTTCACACTGACAGCTGCCCAGAGCACTGTTGTGGCCACATTTGCGGCAATTGCAGTGCTATTGGGAGCGGTGCATTATGGGCAGCTATCCCACAGAGCACCTTTTCCCATTCTGGCGCCGTGGGTTGTGGGAAGGGGAATTCTGGGTCCTGTCCCAATGCCCCGTGATGCATCGCTTCGCATCCCAGAAATCCCTTTGTTTCCGTCCACCTTTGGCGCCATCTTTCAACGGTTTCTGTGCAGTGCGATCTGTCTGCGGGAAATGGAGTCCGAACTGCTGAGGCGTATGCTGAGGAGTCTTGCCAGCAAGTCACGTTTGGCTATCGAACTATTCCTTAAGATCCAAAGCGACAGTGAGAGTGAGGGTGAGGAGTCCGACGATGCTATCGAGACGCGTAACGCGTACGACACGGAATTGCTTGTGGCATTCACGGACATGCTCAGCACCATGGAACGCCGCTTTTTGGTTTGGGAAACAAGCACCGAGTGGTGGGATCACATGGTCATGGAAGTCTGGGATAACGAGCAGTGGCTGCAGAACTTTCGGATGTGAAAAGCCACTTTCATGGGACTGTGTGAGGAGCTCGCCCCCACCCTGCGGCACAAGGACACGAGATTGAGAGCTTCCCTGCCAGTGGAGAAGCGGGTGGCTATTGCAATGTGGAAACTGGCAACTCCAGACAGCTACCGGTCGGTCGCAAACCAGTTTGGAGTGGGAAAGTCGACCGTTGGAATCGTGTTGATGCAAGTTTGCAGGGCCATTAATCGCATCCTACTCAGAAGAACCGTGACGCTGGGTAATGTGCAGGAAATAGTGGATGGCTTTGCACAAATGGGGTTCCCTAACTGTGGAGGGGCAATAGATGGGACGCACATTCCTATTCTGGCACCACCCACCTAGGATCCAACTACGTTAATCGTAAGGGGTATTTCTCTATGGTTCTCCAGGCGCTTGTGGATCACCGTGGGCATTTCATTGACATTAATACAGGCTGGCCCGGAAAGGTGCATGACGCACGCATCTTTTGGAACACTTGGCTGTTCAGGAAGATGCAGGCCGGGACTTTTTTCCCAGAGTGGAAGATCACGGTAGGGGAAGTTGAAATGCCCATTGTGATCCTTGGAGATCTCGCTTACCCGTTAATGCCGTGGCTCATGAAACCCTACACAGGGAGCCTTGACAGCAGCAAGGAATGGTTCAACTACAGGCTGAGCTGGTGCCGAATGACTGTGGAGTGTGCCTTTGGCCGTTTAAAGGGTGGCTGGCGATCTCTGTATGGGAAGCTGGACTTGGCCAAAAACAGCATCCCCGCGATTATATCAGTGTGCTGTGCCCTCCATAATATTTGTGAAGGGAGGGGTGAAAGCTTCACTCAGGCATTGACCTCCGAGGTTCAACATCTGGAGGCTGAATTTGCACAGCCAGAGAGCAGGACTATTACTGGGGCCCAGCGCGGGGCTGCAAGGATTAGGGATGCCTTGAGGGAGCAATTTAAGGCTGAAAACCAGCAGTGATATCTGGTGCCCTGCACGGGAGTGAAGTGCAGTAGTTCCAATCTTTAGGAATCAGTGTCTGCTTAGCAGACAAGCAGACTTGCAGTGCCTGTTTATTTCTGGGCTAAGGAGTCTTTTACTTTATGCAATAATAAAGAATGTTTTCAAAGCCAAAGAATCCATTTATTGAAAAGAAAAAAAATTATTGAAAAGAAACAAGGGGGTGGAGTGGGGAACAGTACAATCACAGATTCGTGTACGTCCTGTCTAGTGTGCTGTGCAGTGAGTG